CCTCCCCGGGCTCCCCAGGAGCTGTGGGACGCAGCAGCCACCACCATCCAGTCGGCCTGGAAGGGCTTCAAGGTTCGCCGCCAGCTGAGGAAGCAGCAGTCGGCTGCCAGGATGCTGCAGGCCACCTGGCGGGGTCACTACACGCGGAGCTGCCTCACCCCTGAGGCACTCTTGGGGACAGGAAGCCCATGGGACAGCGCTCCTGGGGCCCCGCGACTCGGCACCAGGCTGTCCTTGCACTGGCCAGGCATCTAGGCCTCTGGCTGCCGCTGGGCCAGGTAATAAAGGCTCCCAGCCCCGGTCTGGCGTCCTGTGCTCTGCATGAATGGGGCGTCTGGGGCTGGGTGGGACGCACGGCCGTGCTGTCTGTACCCCCCCCTCCGTCTGTGTCTGTGGCCCCCACAGGACCCCAGGGTCCCCTGGAGATCCCGGCCTGTCCGCGTGGCATCCCGTGTGCCACTGTTTCCTTCCATGGCCAGCAGGTGGCGTCCGGTCACTTCCAGTGCACCCCAAAGCTCTCATCTGGCCTGGCATGGCGGCCTGGCACACCTGTGATCCTAGCTACTTAGGAAGCTGAGGCTTGAGGATTGTGAATTCAAGTCCAGCCTGGACAACTTACTTAGTGAGACGCTGTCTCAAAACTTAAGGGGCCGGGGATTTAGCTCAGTGGTTCCACCGCCTGCCTTGAAAGTGCAAAGACTCAAATTTGATCCCTGGTACCAACCCCCCACCCCCCAAAAAACTTCAAAAGGGCTGGTGATGTAATGCATGGGGAGCACTTGCTGAGCATGTGCGAGGCTCTGGGTGGCATAAAACAAAACCCAAAAACCTCACTTTTTGGGGCCTGGCCCAGAGTCGTTCCCACCCCATCCTGGTGGGGGTTCCTGGGCTCATCCCCGAAGTGTCCCAGGTCGAGGATGTGGGTCACACGGACGTGGGAAAGGAAGAAGGGCTGAGGGCTGGGGTCCCTAGAGTGGGCGAGTGGGTTTGGGGCACCCTGAGGGTGACACAGTGAGAGGAGCGTCGAGTGTCCGCGGGCTGGACTCAGAGGGCGGGGTGCTCAGAACCGTACCGGGCTC